CCATTTTGAGCATGAGAATATATCCTACGAACTCTAGCTTTAAAACCGGGAATGACTCGACAGATAAGGCCAGACGCCAGCAACAGTTATAACGAGCATATGCAGTTCACCACAGATAAGGCAGATAAGGCAAAGCATAACAATAATCATAACCCAACATGAACAATCCCCAATATAAATCCCATAGTCACATTCCCCAAGGCACCCATAATCACAACTCGTCCATATCCCAACACATAACACACTTTGTTGGCGCCACAGGACCAATCGCATGCCCATACATGAAGGTCAGCGCATATAGCTCTGACACGGCCCCGCAGCACCCTGCCCCGTATCGCAACACGGAGGGGTCGATCGCAACCGACCGATGAACCGCAGCTCATCATAATGTTTGATCACAACCAAACAGTGGACCGCAGCCCAAGAGAGTGTGTTACCTGACTGTAGCCAGGAATTCCCATCTGACTACAGCCAGCCTCTGAACCGCAGCTCAGGGAAGATGTCACCTGATTGCAGCCAGGAATTACCATCTGACTACAACCAGCTTCTGGACCGCAGCCCAGGATACCGTCATCCGACTATAGTCAGGAATTCCCATCTGACTGTAGCCGGCTTCTGAACCGCAGCTCAGGATAACCAATCCGATCGCAACCGAATTGGGGCAACACGCACACGTAACACATAGCAAGCACATGCAGCCCACATTACACATTGGGAAGGGGGATAAAGCGTATAACAAAACCTATGCGTGATCCACCACGTACTAAGAATAGTCCTAAGGGGTTCATACTTCTTCCACCTAGGTCAACAGGATACCAATTCAACTAGCATGCAATATAATAGACTCATAAACCTACGAACGGTACCCAAAATATCAACTAGACATAGGCACGACAATTGGGGTCCGTTGGGACACCACGGGGGTCGGGGAAACATCAAACGGGGAAGCCGGGGTCCCGAGTTGGGGAAAATTCCAGCGGGTAGCCGGTGGGTGGTGGGCCACCCGCCGGCCACCCGCCAGTTTCTACTGTTCCGGCAGCGGGTCGCCGGCGGGCAGCTGCCCGCCCGCCGGCCGCCCGCTGCCAGGCGGCGGTTTACGGCAATGGGTAGGTGGCGGGTCCCCTACCCCCCACCTACCCCCCACTGACTCTTTTCACACACTTTACGCCCCGGGAACCATTGTGGAACCCGAAACCATGCTTAGACACTTTACAACGCAATTAACGACAACACGTAGACAATTAACGGATCAAATACGAGAAACGAACGGCACATAACCTATCATGCTTTTCTAAACATAATCAACACCCAAACATGCGAATTCCCACCCGATAATCCAAGAATAAGATCATACGATACAACCTAGGGTTCTAATCACTTTTATATCAACGAGAATACGATTCATCTTCTAGTTGCAAGATTCGGTAAGAATAACACATAAACATCGAGGATGCCAATTAATCATCAAGAACATCATAATCATCAAGAACAACACATAATCATCAAAATCCCAATTAATCATCAAGAACATCATAATTATCAAGAAACTCCCAATATCAAGATTATCAAGATTCCCCATGGAATCATCAAATCAACATCAATAATAATTACCATAATTTCGCCATTCACAATAGTATGGGGGAAACCCTAAGGGGAAATCATAGCTATGAAAATAGGTTTTGTTGAGACATGGGTTACCTCTTAGCCTTAATTAATTCCTTGGCTATGAAGGATCTTTCTTTAAGCTTTCTTGCTTTCTTGATTTCTTCTAAGGGGATTCTTGGAGCTCTCCTGGGGTGATGGGCGTGTATGCGTGTGGGAGGGGGTTTTAGGTGCTCCCTAAGTTCCCTATTTATAGATCCAAGGGTTTATTTAGAGTTTATTCCTATTGGGTTTAGGGGTTGGGTTTATATAATTGGGCCCATGGACTATGGTGGCCTTTTTCCCTAATTAACCATTATAATTTATTCTTTCTCCTGGGTTATTAACTAATTAATTAATTAATCAGTTGGTTTTAGGGTCCGTAGCACGGGGTGTTACATTGAAGGCCATGACCTCGTCCGAGAAGGGCAGGGCGGTTAGCAACGTACGCCCCCGGGATTTGGCTTTTCCCTCCATCCGTTCTCTTAGATTTCGTACCTCTTGTACTAGGTTGGCCACTTCGACCCTTTCCCGGGTGCGATTTCCCGTGGATTCCGTGCTTTCGCCGACTTCAGACTCAGCCGGTTGGGCAGGGTTGCTAGGGGGTTGCTCCACGCGACGAGTCTCAGTCCTGGCCCTTTTGGTTCGGCTCTTTTCTCGTGCAGCTTGTCGGTCGCGGACGACTAATGGGGCACGACTGGGCTCCCTCCGGCCTAATCGCTCTCTTGCCGACCGACGCCCGACGCTGGGTCCTAGCCGGGAATGAACGGATTGCACCGGCTGGCTTTCAGCCCGTCGGCTCAATTGCCGGTTGTCTGGCCTCTGAGGCGGTCGCAGCTCGCGTTGCTGCTGGCGAGTGATGGACTGTTCTCTCACTCCTAGACTCGCTTCCGCACAGGCGCGCCCGATTGCGCGCAACTGCTCCGGGGTGAGCAGCACTTGAGGTGCTTGCGGGTTTCTCTGCGGCGTCGGCGGCGGTGTCGTCTCGTTTTCGTGGCTTCGGGCATTTCTCCTATTCAGCTGGTTTCTCAAGTCGGCCTCTCGTCCGTTGTCTTGACGGCTCGACTGTTCCTCGCTTCCTGCCATATCTTGGAGTTTGCCTGATTCAACTATTGTTCCTCGGACTCGCCTCACTCAAGAGGACACGTGACTCTTCGTTTCGGTCCCCACAGACGGCGCCAGTGATGGTTTTTGGGTTTTCGGGCCCAAGGAGGTCCAACACAACCTTAAGCTGGTGGATACACCTTTCACAAAAGGGTTTGAGTCTTAGTAAAATAGGATGCTTAATAGTACTTGTCTATTCCCTCTCCGGGTTCTTAAAATCTGCCTCATACAATGGTGGAGGAGCCCTTTTTATAGTGGCTCCTCCTCTACCGTCTTAAAGGCTCATGATGGCCGACTTAAAGGGTACATTCAATGCGCCGAGCCGTTGGGCGACGTTACAGACTCTGCCAACGGCTCTCTTTGGCTAGTAACTGGCGGACCGAGCCCGGCCTTTAATGCCTCAACGGCTCCTTGTCTTAACTGCGTTGAAGGCTCCCTCAACGGCTCTCTGGACCGAGTCCTCTCCTAGGTCGGGCCTGGGCCGACTCCTCGTCCCCGTTTGGTATTGGGCCGTCCTTCCGGTCTCTGAGCTGGGCCTCCCTCTTTGGACCTGGGCCGAGTCCTGGACTCGGCCCATGCATTCTTTCTGGGCCTCTTTTCTTGGGCCGGGGTTCTCACCCCATCAATGATGGTTCAGAATATTTTTATTTTAATTTTTTTAAAAATTTCTTAATATATCTTTGATTATATTATTTTCTTCACTTATATACCAGCATTATTGTTAACTTTTTCTGTTAAAAATTTTAATCCTCCAGTTTGAATAATCCGTTAATAGTTATTCCCCCTTAGGTTTTCAATCATTATCGACCTGCTGCGTTTGATGCTGGAGAGAGAAGCCGGTCGAGTATTCGTCGACCTGGTGGTGTACCCGTTTTCCCAGTCCATCAAATGGCACAAAAAAACGTAGTTGACCTGGTAGGCTTTTGTAGTTTTGTCTCTGGCCATATATCTATTCTCCGACGACCCTCTTTGGTTTTCGGCTACTTTTGTGATTTTGAACCTAGGTTTGTGTTTTTTTTATTCTTTCCCAATTGTGCGCGACGCACGGCGGTTCTCTAGTTTTGCCCAACGCAGTGATGCACGACAGACCTCCGGCCTCGCTCTACAGCCTCGCTCCAGATGCTCCTCAGTCGTAAGGTAATTTTTTATTTTTTACACATTAAAACCAAAATGAATTTCATACAGTATATGTTGCCTACCATTGATTTAAATGTACAAGTAACTGACGCAAGTTTTCAAGTAAAAAGTAAAATCACATACAAGTGCAACCATTTTCACTAAATAGTGCAAGTTATTTACCTTGTTAACATTGGTACACCTAATGATAAGGTCTTAGACGTTGGTGCACTTAATGATAACATTTGGTGCAACTAATGATAACATTGGTGTAACTAATGATAACATTTTGTGTACTTAATATTGATGCTCAATGTACATTATTTGTTGCACTTTTAATACATTTTATTTTCACTTTTACTACATTTTATTTGCACTTAGGTGCACTATAAAATGTCACTGCCGATGGCTGCGAGTGGTTCTTATTTCTATCTTGGACATCCTGTTCTCACCTAAGCAGTTTCATATATATATATATATATATATATATATATATATATATATATATATATATATATATATATATATATATCGTGAATGTATAAGCAGAGAATTCAATGTTTATTGAAGAGAACTACAGCAACTATATATACTAAGAATACACCATGAAAGTAGGAAACTAACTGAGACTAAGCTGAAGAATAGTGTAACCACTCTTGAATAACCTCTCAGCTCAATACTCCCCCTCAAGCGGAAGAGGGACAAGGGACCACGCCCAGCTTGAATCGCAACTCATTGAACCGAGCAGACGAAAGATGTTTGGTGAAGATGTCTGCCAGCTGATCATGCGTTGACACGAAATTGACTTTAAGGGCACCAGAAGTGACTTTGTCCCGGATAAAGTGATAATTGACTTCAACATGTTTTGTGCGCGCGTGGAACACTGGATTGGAGCACAGATAGGTAGCTCCTAGGTTGTCACACCAGAGTACCGGTATGGTAGGCGGAAGCAAACTGAGCTCACGAAGGAGAGACTGTACCCAGGTGACTTCAGCAGCGACATCGACTAACGCTTTGTATTTTGCCTCAGTGGAAGACCGAGCTACCGTTCGTTGTTTGTGGGACCCCCACGACAGTAAATTCGGACCTAGGAACACCGCATAGCCACCTGTGGACTTCCGGTCTATAGGGCAACCGGCTCAGTCCGAGTTTGAAAAGGCGTGTAGGACCGGAACCACCATGGGCATGAGACGGAGTCTAAGGTGCATGGTACCCTGCACATAGCGGTGAACACGTTTGAGAGCGACCCAATGAGTTTGCATGGGTTGGTGCATGAATTGGCACAACCGAATCACCGCAAAAGATAGGTCCTGGTGAGTGATCAGGAAGTACATGAGCGAGCCAACAAGTTGACGATAAGCAGTAGGATCATCTAGGGCAACGTCCGAGTCTGGATCAGCCTCTGATGTGACAGCCACCAGCGTGGTCAAGCGCTTGCAAGACTCCATTCCTGCCTTGCATAACAACTCAGTGACGTAGCGTTGTTGTGACAATATTAGGCCTCCTGAAGCATCAACAGCCTCTATGCCCAAAAAATAATGAGGCCTGCCAAGGTCTCTAATGCGAAATACAGTGGCTAGCTTCGAAAGAACACCCTCTACCATACCATGACTATTTCCCAACACGAGAATGTCGTCTACATAAATTAACAAGTAAACCCTTACATCACCAGAATCATAAATAAACAAAGAAATATTTGTCTTGGAGGTTCGGAACCCAATTTGAACTAGAAATTCGTGTAGCTGGATGAACCAGGCGTGGGGGGCCTGCTTGAGACCATATAGAGAGCGCTCGAGCTTGCAGACATGATTCGAGAAAGCCGGATTCACATACCCCGGAGGCTTCCGCATATAGATGTCTTCACTCACACGCCCATATAAAAAAGTCTTGTAAACGCCAAGTTATCGCATGGTCCACCTGTTTGAGACTGCAAAAGATAGGAGTAGGCAAACGGTTTTCAGTTTGACAACTGGGCTATACGTCTCAAGATAGTCTTTACCCGGAACTTGGTTGAACACCTTTGCAACCAACCGAGCTTTATAACGCTCAATGGACCCGTCGGACTTCCTCTTGACCCGGAATACCCATTTGCACCCGATCACGTTCATGTCACGTCGGGGCGGTACAAGACGCCAAGTTTGATTGTGGATTAGGGCATTAAACTCTACATCCATAGCATTGCGCCAATGTGTGGTTTTAACTACTTGGTTGTGGCACGTAGGCTCGTTGTCATCCAGTGAGGCTACCAATGCCCTTGGAGGCCGACGTTGTGCCCCAATGGTGGTACGCAACTGCATGACGTGGGTCCGAATAGTCGGGCGCTGACGCTGCTACCTGCCTGTTGACGTAGTAGAGATGGACGGCTGGTATGAGGAAGTGGCAGCCGCCGCAGTTGACGACGAACTGGGAGCGGCATTGCAGTGAGCAGGCTGGTCGTGACTTGGCGACGAGCGCGGTTCTGGCGGGGCCGGTGGTACGGGACACGCTGGAGATGGATGCCGGAGTTGAGTGCATGCCAATGGTAAATGTGACGAAGATGGCACAGCAGAAGATTCAGCCGGCATCGAAAAGGGAAATACAGCTTCATTGAACCTTACATGCCGTGCAATGTATATGCGCCCGGTTGATCTGTCCAGACACCTGTATCCACTAAAGGAATCCGGGTAACCAAGAAAAACACAGGAAACAGATCGATAGTCCATTTTGTGAGAGTTGTAAGGACGTAGACAGGGAAAGCATTCACACCCAAAGACATGTAGCATTGTGTAGTTAGGTGGTTTATTAAACAGACAGAAATATGGGCTATTATTCCCAAAGACTGACGACGGCAAGCAGTTTATCAGATGGACCGTAGACTCAAACACGTATGACCAATATTTCTTTGGGACATGACTATGAGCTAATAAAGATAACCCGGTTTCTACCACATGACGATGTCGGCGCTCCACGCGGCCATTTTGTTCGTGCGTGTGGGGGCAGGTTTGTCTATGCATAATCCCGACAGCGACGAAAACCGCGTGTAGTTTACGGTATTCGCCCCCGATATCAGTTTGTATACATTTAATTGAGGTGGAAAACCGTTTTTCAACTAAAACTCGAAACGATTGAAATATGGAATAAAAATCTGTTTTGAGTTTCATAGGATAAATCCACACGAATCGCGAGTAATTATCGACGAACAATACAATGTATTTATAACCGTCAACTGACGGGACAAGAGACAGGCCCCAGATATCTGTAAAAATTAACTCTAAGGCAGACTGACTTGAGTTTTCTACTCGTGCCAATGGGAAGCGCGCAGACTTACCCATCTGGCAGGCAATACACAAATTATTCATAGAATTTATGGACCCTACTACGGGACAACTCGATATAACCTGATGCAGAACTCGACTGTGCGGGTGACCAAGACGCTCATGCCACACTTTCGGGGAGGCTTTAGCAGAGACAAATGCAACTGGAGTAGACACACTAGTGGATACATCCCGTCTTGACTAGGACCCCTAAGAAGAACCTGGTGTGTGGTACGGTCCTTCACAACGAAATAAGATGAGTGAAATTCAAAATAGACACCATTATCATGAGTGAATTTTTGTACAGATAATAATGATGCACGAAGTTTAGGAACATGTAAGACTTTATTTAGGAACAGTGATCGGGACTGTGAATTTAAAGGCATAGAACATGTGTTTTGTATTGACAGACCTGAGCCATCCCCAACTCGAAGCGTGTCACCACCTGAGTATTGTTCAACTTCATTCAACGCGTCAACGTTCGGGGTAGCATGCGCATTGGCGCCGGTGTCTGGGAACCAAACATTGGAGAAGAGTGCAGTATTGTGGTCATCTTGAACAACAACATGCCCATGTGGGGGTGCAGGAGGATAACCACCAGACTGCGGTGAATTTTGACGTTGGCCGAAGGTGTCCCCGAACCTTTTGTAACAAGTGAGGGCTGTGTGCCCAGGGATGTCACAAATCTGACACCGAATTCCACCGCACCCACGCTAGTCACACCCTCGCTTGCCTCTATGTGTACGACCGCGTCCGCGTCTGGTAGGCGTCTGCTGTTGATGTGCCATCATCACAATTGGGGTAGGCGGTGGCACAGGAGAAACTTCATCGACAACAAATCAGCTACGTCCGGAATGGTCAAAGGTGCAATCTTGGTGGTGAGCGATGCAACAAGGGACCTGTACTCCGGCTGCAATCCTCTGAAAACGTGAAGATTCTGTTCGTCCAGGCCTATGGGACGACCTGCTTGTGTGAGCTGCGATGATCTGGGCTCTGCCAAGGTATGTTGCTGGCGTCAAATCCCCTTGGTGAAGACCATGGAGTTGCGTTAGCAGACTCAAAGAACAGGAACGGGAGGCAGATCCTAACCGATCTCCATCGCGACCCAAACGGAGCGAGAAGTCTGATGGCCAATGGCCAAATACAACACCTCTTCTGCTAAGGACGAAATCAACATGCTGAGTATCGACTAGTCTTGCTGCATCGAAATCGGGTAAAGAGGATTCGGTGTTGGACCAGTCGAAGACGAGCCTGCGGCGACGGCTAGGAATTCCAACGGACAAGCAGTAGTGTCGTTGACATAGCCGTAGAGGTTTTGGCCGCGTAAGAAGGGAATCAGTTATGCTCTCCAGAACAGGTAGTTCGTGACAGTCAGCTTGATAGACACATAACAGGTAGTTCGTGACAGTCAGCTTGATAGACACATAATGATTTGCCTGTTGAAGCATGTTGGGGTGGCGGGAATCAGTTTGAGTTATAACCGCGGTGGAGGAGTCAGTGACCGGAGTTAGAGTAGGGTTTGCTTGTTCGGCCATAGGATCGAGGTTTTGGCTGATACCATGTGAATGTATAAGCAGAGAATTCAATATTTATTGAAGAGAATTACAGCAACTATATATACTAAGAGTACACCATGAAAGTAGGAAACTAACTTAGACTAAGCTGAAGAATAGTGTAACCACTCTTGAATAACCTCTCAGCTCAATATATATATATATATATATATATATATATATATATATATATATATATATATATATATATATATATATATATATATATATATTTATTTATTTATTTATTTATTTATATTTATATTTATATTTATATTTATATTTTGCAGTTGCAATTTATTGCCAAATCCAAGTATGTTGTTTTAATTTGATTGATTAAATGTTATTAGAAAAATTGATGAATGTTTTAAACATAGTATTTCAATTAATGAATGATGAATAATTAAACATGTGATATATATGTTAGTAAAATTCAAAGTATATTTTGTGGTTCAGTTGAGAAAATATATTTTACAAGAAAATGAACTTTCTTTTTTATTATCACTTCTGAATTTTGGCAAGACGTCAGCTGCTCAACTTAAAAGTATGTCTTGTGATTTAGTTAAGAAAAAAATACTATACAAGAAAATGTACTTTTAAACTAGAGAAATTACATCTTTAATCCTTGAGTTATAACTAATTTTTGATTCAGTCCCTAAGTTATGACCGTATCCGAGTTTAGTTTCTCAGTTATGAGCGAAGTGGCAAGTTTGGTCCCCAGTGTTAATATTCTGTTTGCAACTAACGGAAAACTTAAAAATAATTTAATAATAGATGGGTAAAATAGGATTTTAAAATTATAATCCCCTTCTTATGTTGAAATTCATTGCGCAACAGTCATTCTTTTCTTCTTATACCTACAATCGAAAGTCTTTTTCTTCCCCAAGCTCTGAAATCTCAAATTCGTCCACTTCCAAGCTGCGAAATTCACATGTAAGTTGTTTCTCTATTTTATATGTTTAAATAAATAATCAATATTCTTCGTATTGATAAACTAATTTAGCCATTAATTATAGGATGTCATCTCTTAGTTGTGGTACTTCATCTTTACCCAAATATGGGGATAATTTTCAATGTAAATGTGATAATTTATTACCCATCAAAATATCATGGAGTTATGCTAATCCAGGGAAAAGATACCAAGCTTTTTCACGTTATGGAGTAAATTTTTGTATTTGTCAAAAATTGTAATTTAAGTTGTTTTTTTTTTTTTAATAAATAGAATTGAAATATTGAAATTTGTTTTTTTTCAGAACAACGGGAGTATGGTTTCTTCACTGATTACATAAACGACTTAGGGCTTTTGTCAATTTGAGAGGAAAATATTTTGGCTAAGTTTGTAAAAAGGGAAAACAGGGAAACAAGTTATATATATTACATACAAGTTTTATTAAAAAATTTACTTTTTTACCCTCGGAATTAACTCTCTCAACACACCACTAGTGTGAGTGACCAAACTAGCCACTTCTCTCATAACCAAGGGACTAAAAATGGATACAGTAATAACACAAGGACTGAGTCATCACTACGATTATAACTCAGGGACCAAACTTGTCATTTTTTCTTTAAACTATTTAGCCAAAATATTAAAAAAAAAAATCTAGTGTGGATCTTTACCCCCACTCAACACTTTAGCTTTGTTATTAAATGTTCTACACAGACTTAGTTCACTGGTTCAATAATTAGTATTTAGAGCCAATTACAGTGATTTACATCCTCTTGAATGCTCTGTGGAGCCGGGGTTGGGAATTCAACATTTTCAAGAAAAATATACTATATAGTTTGGGTCTTTATGGATGACAACGAGGCGATGCGGGAGCGGGGAATGGGGTGCCCGTCCCAGCCCCCGCATTCAACCCCTGATCCCCGACCAGGCCCCATTCCCCAACAAGGATGGGGAATATAATTATCTCCCATCCCCGTCCCGCATGGATTTTTTCGGGACGGGAATTCTCCGTCCCAATTTGAAAAATAATTATGCACTTCCCAATTTTTAGTACACAAAATAAAATTATATTTTATTTAAATTATATAATTAATTTATATATTTTTATATTCAATTAGGCTAACATCCAATCATCTAAAAATACAATTAGTACAAAATAGTGAAATACTTAAAACATTAAACAATACTTAAAGATACAAATTATTCAAATTTTAAGTTTTTAACCAAAATACCAATTATCTATACATAATAACTTTGAAAAAAAAAAAACCAAAAGTCAAAATTATATATTAGTACATATAAATAAATAAATAAATAAATATATATATATATATATATATATACACACACACACACACACACACACACACACACACACACAC